CATTATTGTACTGTGGATAAGTCCAAAAAAGTCGGTATAATTGGCATCGATCGCGAAACACTCGATCATTGTTGTATGCATTGAAAGTTTCGAAGTGCACTGTTTTCCCAAGATTCAGTCTGCGCACTACCCTAAACTAACTTGATAGTTCGTTGTAGGATGAATCACACTCACCGTGCAGTTTTTTAATGGTATTCTGCTTTGCCTTCCATGCTTTCCTGTAGGAGACGATGTACCCGTATTGAGACTGTATATTTGAAATCAACACAACAATAGCTATATGGGAGCTTGCTTTGACCATGAGCATGATGGCTTGGCAGATAATGTCGGAGTTCAAGTTAGGGTAGTCTTGGCTGATCCCTCTAGCACAACATATATGAGGATCTTTGTATACTGTTATTTCTCATATGTTATTTTTTTCTCTTTCTCTTCGATACACGAACCATCCAATTACACCCGTTATCATATTGGACACAGTAGCAGACATACTTTTCGATGGTGGATCGGTCGATTTTGGAGTGAACAAAATTATGAATATTGTAATTCTTAATAGCGATTATCTCTTTTTCTTTCGATGGAAACTACATTCCGATATATAACTCACCATCATTGACTGATGAGTTAATTCCATAGTCACTAACATTAGACATATCCGTAAATTCTAGCTCGTACATTACACCATAGTCATCTTTATACATGTGTGCTAAAGGTTTGGTGTGTACCATAGTTGTAGGAACCTCATCTAAATCATCATCATTAGAGTTTATGTTGAAATGTGATGATTTTGGCTCAACGAATAGTCCAGTCTCAGCACCATCCGTACCTGTCTCATACACGAATGTCGATTATCTCAACAATTAGTTGAATGACTTCCCCTTGAACTTGAATGCATCGTGTCATACATGTTTTGGATTGAGTGTTGTGTTACAGATATCTCGACATAGAGGTCGAAGAAGCTCGCAGTTGAATGCCTCTGCCAAAAACTTGAAGGCATCGTGCCAAATGTGTACTAAATATATTATTGTGTCGATGGCATCCCCATATTCAATTCAAAGATATTGGCAGATGATTGCCTTTCCCTTGAACTGGAAGCGACGTTGTCATACGGATTGTTCGTGGAGCCACCTCGTTAGACGTCGTAACAAGTTGCTAATGAATGTTTCCCCATTGAACTTGATGGGATGGTACCATAATGTGGATTTCCCATTATGGCGTTAAAATCATTGCACATTACTGTAGTTGGGCTGTCAACTTGATCAACTTGTTGAGCTTGCCCATAGTGGGAGCATAATGACATACCATGAACTACACACACTTCAACAAATATCACATACATCTGTGTATCGGCGTCTGAATTTTGATTATGAGAATCAACCATCATAACAACATCGTCATCGTTGGAGAGTTCGAACGCTGTATAAGTTAATGAAAATATTAATGTTGGAAATATGTACTGAAGTGAAGACATTCTTCTAGTACTTCCAATATGAACATTCCTTGAAATTTTAGTGATCAACTCATCAAAAGTGATGTTTCGATTGAAGGATATTCTGACAAAATAATTTTATGTGAAGACAACGCCTGCTCCATCTTCCCTAATTTCTCCATCATAGTAAACAATAGTTGAAATACATATAATTTTTAGAGTTTGAAAGATTGAGAGTTTTTTATCTGCAAAAACAATAGATTAAATACGCCTAATTAAATAAATAATATACGAACTTAAAAATAAACTAATGCTAAAACATTTAAAAAATTTCACAAAACATTGTTACTGTCTCAGGAAAATATCTTGAGATTTGACCCCACCTTCTATTTTATACCCGCACAAAATAAAATAAAATTATTAGTACAAAAAATGTAATCTAATAATTAAATTTAAAATGACAATAATATAATAAAAAATAATTTTATATTTTAAGAACTATAACAAAATCTACTAAGCTTGATAAAGAAAAATTATAGAAGCAAAAATAACTTAAAAATAAACTAATGCTAAAACATTTAAAAATTTTCACAGTAAATTTAATAACACAATTTAACATTATTATCGTCTAGGGAAAAATATATCGAGATTTGATCCCACCTTCCATTTTATACCCGCACAAAAGAAAATAAAAATTATTAGTATAAAAAATTTAATCTAATAATTAAATTTAAAATGAAAATAATATAATAAAAAATAATTTTACATTTTAAGAACTATAACAAAATTTACTAAGCTTGATAGAGGAAAATTATAAAAGGAAAAATATGAAATTAAATTTTGTTGTGGTTTTATGTTTATTAACGATGCTATTTATAGGGGAGGAGTGGGTGATTTGCATATTTCGGGTAATGATAGAGTACTCAATAATTCAAGAAAATAATAGAAGACACATATGATAATCCTCGCCTTTGCCGAGTGTCAAAATCCCAGGAAAACACGGATGGTGATCCACGCTTTATCCTTACGTGGCGTCAACTCAAACGAACCCTAGAAAGACGCAGATGATGATTCGCGTATTTTTTCACGCCGTCACAAAGAGTTTTAGATCAGTAAAATTATGACGATAGGTGCCTGATAGGTAATAATTAAATAGTTAGGTGATTTTTGGATAAAAACGCCCTAAGTGAATAATTTTCTATCCAGGATTTTTAAGCAGTGCACGGTGCTGACCTATGTTTCTTCACATGCAAAGCTAAAACTCATGTCAAGCACCATATTCAACATTAACGCATCACTCGTTTAGGGTAAATTATGTGTTTAGTACGTAAATTTTTAGTTTTGATCCGTTATTTTAGTACGTAAACTTTCAATTTTTTCAAAACGATGCATAAGTTTAGTTTTTGTTTTATTTTAACATCCCGTCTTTAAAAACTTTAATTTTTATTTCATTTTAGTACTTGTTCAAAATTTAACGTTAAATTAAAAAAAAATAGTTTATCCAATCTTTTAATATGTTTTTTTAATTAATTTATGTGTCAATATTGACCCCACAATAAGGATAGAATTATTTAGAGCAATTATATGTAGATTCAACTAATTTTACACGAATAAATAATTTGAATCTCATACAAATTTATTATTTAAATTTATTTATGAAAGTATATCTTATTTATATGAAACCATTTTTTTAAAAAATATTATGCTTTAAAGGTTAAACTAGTATAATAAAGTCTTTTACATTTAGAATGTAATTTGATATATTTTAATTTTTTAAAAAAATAAAATTTCATTTAAGTAAAACAAAATTACATAATGATAACTACTCTAAAACAAAATTCTCAAATTAAGAAATTGTTTTTGTTCCTTAAAGTCTCGAGTTAGAACATCGTATATAAAAACATAAACATTCATCATCAGATAATTGAGGGTCTTTAACAATAACCAGTTGATATAGTGAAATGAGATACTAGATCTCTTAATTAAGGTTAGAGGTTCAAACCCTAAACTGAATTAGAAAGGTCGCCATCGTCTTTACAGTACTTAATCTGAATTAATCGATCAATAAATTAAATATTAATAATTTATTAAAAAATAATCAAAAATATTTAAACAAATATTATTTTATATTTACCGTGGATTTATAAAAAAAATATACTTTCAAACGTGATCGAAGAGTTTAAGATCATCTTTCTAGAACTGCATTGGATACAACAAAAATTGATATTAAAGAAAATAAGCATATATTCAGGGATATGCATTAGACCTGAAATCGGATCGAGTTTTTTTTATAAAAAAATCAGGCTCGGATTGAGTTTGAATTTAGTATGAAAATATTTAACCCGACCCGACTCGAAAAATATATATAATTTTACCTTATATATTTAAGAATAATTACAATAATATTCATCTATATATTATTTTTTTCAATTAAGTCATTATTTTTATTGAATATTAATAATATTTTTATTATTATTTCAGGTTGGTCGGGTCATGTTCGGATCAAGCAAAATCTTATTTTGATCGGGTTGAGTCAGATCTCGAATAGAGGATTCTTTACTCTTAAGTCGAGTCAGATGGACCAAAAACCCAACTCAACCTGACCTATACACAACTGAATGTAACAGCAAAATCAATCTTTAAAAAATATTAAAAAGAATAAGATCAAAATTTATATAAGACAAGAGAGATATTTTATGAAAAAGACAAATTTTCATTATGTTGGTATCAAAATAGGAAGATCCATTAAAATAAAGAAAAACAGGAGATTAGATGTCTAAAATAATTCACAAGCGAAAAAAATAAAAGGATAAATTAAGTATTTAGTATCTAAACTATTAGTTTTAGTTTATTTTAGTATCTAAACTATTAATCAATTAATAATATGTAAGTGAAAAAATAGAAGGGTAAATTATGTGTTTAGTATCTAAACTATCAGTTTTAGTTCATTTTAGTATCTAAACTTTCAAAATTTCTCAAAATCATACCAAATATTTAATTTTAGTACTCACCGTTAAAAATTTAACACATTTAATATCTAAACTATCGATTTTATCCATTTTAATACCTAAATTTTTAAAACTTAACGTTAAATTTTTAACGAGAATACTCAAATAAAATAAAAACCAAACGTTATGCATGATTTTAAAAAAAATAAAAATTTATATATTAAAACATATCAAAATTAATAATTTAAATACTCTTAAAATAAATAAAGTAATTAAATTTTACAGCGAAATGCACATTAATCGGTGCCGACACAAGAATCACATAGATATAAGAAAAAAGAGATAAAATACGACACAGATTTTTCTGTTCTTCGGGAAGGGAGTCTTTTTGACGTTAAGAAATTACAGATTTCGGCTTCCTTGTAGGCCCCAAACTCTCCACATGCATCTTGTTTCTATTCGATTGGTAAGAGCATCATCGCTGTTCTTTCAAGAAAAGCAAAGGGCCCAAAAAAATGATTCCTTTTCTGTAACAAACCTCAATTCATTCTAAGTTGCCAACAGAACTAATGAAAATGACAACCTCATCTTATCCCTCCAACTTCCATTAAAGAACATATTTAATCTACCTCTCTGTTTGCATTTATACCTCACTTTCTTAGTGTTATAGACGCTGATATAAAGTTCATATCTTAAGCAGCTTCATGGCAATCTTGCCTGTTTATAGAATCACATTAAAGGGTTTCAAGATCTGAACTTTCATCCTTTTTCTTTTTCGTTTTTCAGTCGAACGCAAAGATGGGTTTTCAGATTTGGAAAATGGGTTTTTGTTTTGGTTTATTAAGCTGCAGCTTGCTTTCGGTAAGCTCAAAAGCTGCTACAGGGGATGCTGCTGCTGTTGAAGGCACTGTTTATGTTGATGGGAAAGCTCCCATTGGGACAATAGATGATGACTTTGTGTGTGCTACTTTGGATTGGTGGCCTCCTGAGAAATGTGATTATGGGACATGCAGTTGGGGTCTTGCTGGACTGCTCAATCTGGTTAGCCACTCGGTCCTTGTTGCAATGGAATTGATTTGCTTTACTATGCTAATAATCTTCTTCTTCTTCTGGTCTTATTTTTGGGAAATCAGGGTTTCCTTCTGCTAAACAAGAACTTGCATTTTCTACTTTAATGATGCATTTTGATACTTAAACCAAATCTGTTCAATCTGGAAAGTTTATTTCCCAGCTCAAACGTGGTTGCTGATATTTCTTTTCCTATTGCAGGACCTTAGCAATAAGATATTGTTGAATGCCGTGAAAGGTAAGTCGTCCATTTCCTTTTTTGATGGGTGATTTTGATAACAAAATGTTGGATTTGACTTATTTATTAGTCCCTTCATGGTTCAGCTTTTTCACCATTGAAGATTAGATTAGGGGGCTCATTGCAAGACAAGCTCACATATGGTACAGATGACAATAGGAAGCCCTGTACTGCATTTGTTAAGAAACCTTCTGAGATGTTTGGTTTCACTGAAGGATGTTTACCCTTGGAAAGATGGGATGAGCTTAATGACTTCTTTGCAAAATCAGGGTAAATAAAAATAACATTTTTCTTTCTTTCTGCCCTTTATATTTCTTGAGCTAATGTTTTACAATTCAGGGCTAAGATTATTTTCGGACTAAATGCTCTTGCCGGACGGTCTATAAAGGCTGGTGGTCCGGCTATAGGACCTTGGAACTACACCAATGCCGAATCTTTTATTCGTTACACTGTCGAAAAGAACTACAACATCTATGGCTGGGAGTTAGGTAGATGATGATGAACATGTTTCTGAAATTTCATTGATAGATTAGACGGAAGATGGTTCGTGATAGATGGTAGCTACATGTGTTTGTTATCTTCTGCTTGTCAGGAAACGAATTGTCCGGGAATGGGGTTGGAACTAGGATCACGGCGAATCAGTATGCGGCCGATGCAGCGGCTCTAAAAAGTATAGTGCAAAAGATATACAAGGACGTTGATTCCAAGCCTTTAGTCATAGCACCTGGTGGGTTCTTTGACACAGACTGGTTCAAAGAATTTATCGATAAAACAACCGCATCTTTAGATGTGGTCACTCACCACATATACAATCTCGGACCAGGTATTATGTACTCCGTCTTGTACGTAGGAATCGATAGGAGGCTCTAATCCTGACGATCATATTCTTCTGACATAGGAGTTGATACCCACCTGGTTGAAAAGATACTTAATCCTTCCGTTCTCGATAATATCGTCGGAGCATTCAGTGGCCTCCAAGACATTATCAAGAGTTCTCCGACTTCAGGAACTGCATGGGTGGGCGAGGCGGGAGGAGCTTATAATAGTGGCCATAATCTTGTTACAAATGCATTTGTGTTCAGTTTCTGGTAATGTGACAACGACCTGCTATCAAGAAACCAAGCTGTTTTGCTGTGATTGATTTGTAAGTGATCTTATCTCGGACATGTAATGCAGGTATTTAGATCAGCTCGGCATGGCAGCGAAGTATGATACAAAAACATACTGTAGACAATCGTTAATTGGCGGAAATTATGGTTTACTAGACACCAAGACCTTTGTACCGAATCCAGACTACTACAGGTTATTTCTCTGAAACAGATGGATACCCTTTCTAGACTTCATTTATGCCTTAAAGAACTGGATCAACCTATCGATTTCTCCATTTCACATCGAAATCTGAGGTTGAGCATGAGATATTCATGATTTTGTCTTATTAGAGAATCTACCTCATCTTATCCGAGCCCTGTATGCATGATCATGTGCTTTCTCCGTTGCAGCGCTCTTCTTTGGCACCGATTGATGGGAAGAAATGTTCTGTACACGAGCTTTGCCGGGACGAAAAAGATACGCTCGTACACTCACTGCGCAAAACAATCGGTAAGTCTCATATCACAATCATGCAGCAGGTTCTCTTCTCATTCTTGGTATATGACCAATGCTTCCCATCTTACAGGAAGGCATCATGCTACTATTGATCAACCTTGACAGGAGCACGACTGTCCGGGTTAAACTTGAATTCAACAATACAAACGCCTTTCGACACAAACACGGATCTCGGACTTTGCACAACCAACACATGTCGTTTGAAAAGACGATCGTCCAGCTTCCTCAAGTGGCCGATGCCGAAATCGGAAGAGAGGAATACCATCTAACACCAGCAGATGGAAACATACAAAGCCAAACCATGCTACTGAATGGAAACAATTTAAGTGTGGATTCATCAGGGATCATACCACCACTGGAGCCTTTTCACGTAAACTCGACGAAGCCGATAACGGTTGCTCCTTTATCCATTGTGTTCATCCACCTGCCGGATGTTATGCTCCCTGCTTGCAAGGTGCGACTCTAAAGAGAACCAAAACCGGTTCCCAATCAAATAAGAAAAACACATTGCAATTGTACCATTTTTATTCATAGGAAGAAAACAGGCTCACATACAAAGTATAAGAAGATTGGCTTAAGCATAATTCTTTTGACATGAACTCCAAGCATGTTGCTACACCGCTACGGTTGATTGCATCCATGGCCGGTTAACTTCACATCAAGATCTTATTGTCAAAAGCTCAAAACTAATGATTATTGGGTAAACTACATATTTAGTACACAGATTATTAGTTTTGATCCGTTTTAATACTTAATTTTTAATATTTTTTTTTCAAAATCATACATAATATTTAATTTTCATTTCATTTTAATACACGCCGTTAAAAAAACTTAACGTCTTTAAGTTATAAAATAAAATTCGTTAACCCGAAAAAATTTTATTCGACTCGATCAAATACACACTCTTATAGGTGGTTATGTCGTATTGTCGCCTGGACTGTTATCCCTGGATTCTTTGCACCTTTACTATCAAACCAATTCATGGAAAGAAACATGATGAATTTATAAATAAGATTTCCTTGTTTCCGTTTTAAACCGTCAATAATTAATGTCTTTTAGTATAATTCAAGTAGTTTGAAGTTTGAAGAAAACCTGGCAATGGCAGTGTGGGCCTAACGTCATGGGTAAATTCATCATGTTTCTTTCCATGAATTGGTTTGACAGTGAAGGCGCAAAGAATCCAGGGATAACAGTCCAGACGACAATACGACATAACCACCGATAAGGGTGTGTGTTTGATAGAGTCGAATAAATATATTTTGAATTAATAAATTTATTTTATAACTTAAACTCTATTTAAAATTTTGAACTATTCGAGTTCTATTTTATAATTCGACTCGAATTTAAAAAAATTTCAAGTCGAGACGAGTTTTTTTTTTTTGGAGTCAAGTTGAAAAGATCGATTTTTAAATTGAATCGAATTTTGCTCAACCCTAACCAGAGATTTAAAGTGCAGTTGTGGTCGCGTTTATTTTGATTAAAGTGATTGCGGATATAGTGGTCATGCAATAACGGTTTCGGACGACACCACTACCACTATATAGCGGACAATTACAGTAGCGGACCGCTATTTGAATCCCTGCCCCTAACCACTGCGTGTCACAGAATACCACGCCAATTATAAAGCTGCAGTCCGAGGATTCTCATTTCTTTGAGAGCGAACATGGCAGGCAAGTCGCTTTTCTTTGATGGGGTTCCATTGTCTAAGAGTGTTCAAGAGATGTCCGTGAATGGTGATGAGCCACCCTCAGAATTTCATGTCAAAAACAGCAGTTCAGGAGGGACGGATTCTTCCTATCTTTTGTCGACCGTCTCAGTTCCGATCATCGATCTTCGTTTTCTGCTGTCTTCGAAAGATGAACTGGAAAAACTCAGATTGGCTCTCGAATCAGGAGGGTGTTTCCAGGTTCTATACTATCTTCAAAACACTACTATCTTCAAAACACGGATCAGTTGTTCCCATTTACCATATCTTCTCTTGAAATTGTGTTGTGTCAATCAGGCTATTGGCCATGAGATGTCGAGTTCATTTATCGACGACGTCCGTCGAGTTGCAAAACAATTTTTTGGGCTCCCACAGGAAGAGAAGCTGAAATACTCCAGGGAAGCTAACGGAGTCGAGGGTTATGGCCATGATCTGGTGATCTCGGACAAGCAAGTTCTTGACTGGAACACTCGCTTGTTCCTCAAGGTATTGCCTGAAAACCAAAGAAAGGTCAATCTCTGGCCTGAAAAGCCAGATGGTTTCAGGTACAAGAACAACTATTGCAGTCTTGTAGTTTGTGAGTTGTGATAATTTGTACTTTTATGAACCGTAAACTGAATCGAGTTCTTGCAGAGAGGTCTTGCATGAGTATTCCATCAAGCTAAAGCAAATGATGGATCTTCTATTTAAGGCCATGGCAAAATCACTCGACTTAGAAGAGAATAGCTTCTCGGGTCAGTTCGGAGGCAACCAGGTAATGCAAGTTAGGTTCAACTTCTATCCACCTTGTTCAAAACCGGACAAAGTTCTTGGTGTCAAGCCTCATTCGGATAGATCCGGTGTGACGGTCTTATTGCAAGACGAAGAAGTCGAAGGCCTTCAAATTGTCAAAGATGAGAGATGGATCACAGTTCCCGTCATTCCCCATGCTCTTGTTGTCAACCTTGGTGACCAAATGCAGGTAAACTATTAATGGTTTGAGTCAAATAACTTTTGCATATCCAAAAATATGACCAAAGAAGTAATCGAATTTTTCCCATATGTATTAATCGATGAAGATAATGAGTAATGGGGTATTCAAGAGCCCGGTGCACAGGGTGGTCACGAACGCGGACAAGCTGAGGATATCCGTGGCAATGTTTAACGAGGCGGAGCCTGAGAACGAGATAGGACCTGTGGAAGCCTTGATAGATGATAACAGGCCAAGATTATACAGGAATGTGAAAAATTATGCTTCTTTTAACTATGAGTGCTTTCAGAAAGGCAAAGTGGCACTTGAGGAAGTAAAATTTCATGCATAGGATCATACAAGGATTAAAGCCCTGAATCAGATTCTGATGCTCCCCTTTGAGGAGTACCTTCATCTGCAAGAATGCTATATATCTAGTTCTAGTGTACTGTTCTCTTGTTTCGAATATAACTTAATTAAGGCTTATTATGAATTTATGATACAATGGTGATTACTAATCCATCAGCTAAATCAGTTCAGTAGATCTATCTTATTATGATAATCACAAGGAAGCGTGGAACATTGTTTTGTACAGCTCCTGGGGCTACCAACAATATCCGCCAAACATCGCATCCTGGAGCTACGGCTCGATTGGAATGAGATCACCATCGTTTATTTCATTATTACAATCCGTTACTGATGCGACTTCCGACAATTCTTCTTCTCCTAATGCTCTGCATCTCAGTGCTTGTGTTCGTTTCCTAGACTACGATTTCCTTCTATTTATTCAGAAACAGAACCTCTTGTTGGGGCATCATTCGCCCCCACAGAGTTCATTAGAAATAGATTAACAAGAAAAAAGAAACCTCGACTTTTGCAGCTACAATGGCATGCATGAAGGCAGGTGGACCTCTCGTTCCACAGTCAGCAGCAGGAGACTCGAGTAAAATTAAATCCTTCACGAGAAAAAAGTAACATTGCCAAATCAGTATCAGAATGATATAACTGATTAACAAAAATATAGAAACATACATAAATATATGCATGTACACATTGTATCCATCAGAATGATGCTAATTAAAAGCGAGGAGACAAGAAGAGATGAAGATTAATGGGGCTGAATTTGTTTTTTTAGCAACACAGAGTATAGCCGAGAACAAAAAACCAGAATCGACTGCAATGGTGCATAGAATATTTTCTTCCCGGTAAAAAACCAGTAATTGCGACGTTTACAACAAAGGGAAAAAGTTACACATCACAAGCATATGGAATGCAAATAGTTGCAGCAGTTGCATGTTACAATTTACAAGCGTGACATTTATCAATCAACACAAAAGCTTTGATATCAGAAATTTTCGCTTCAAAAGCCTTTTAATCTTTTGAAAATGGGATAGATATTGAAGTGGCCAATAGGATAAAGAAAGATTAACCATTTAACTTGCATAAAACGAAAACATGGAGCTAGCTGATTTTAACACTATGGAGAAGATGAAAGTGCACCATTTCGCTTTTCTGATTTCTCCTGCAATACCTTGAGCTTCTCCGAATTTCCAAACAATTCCTTCCGAAGAACACCATGCAATCTATCAAAGAGCTGCTTCTTCAATGACTCAAAGGCAAAATCCATTCTCTCAAGCTGTTCCATTGCGTTTACATTGTACATGAACAACCCATAATAAAGATCGACGCTGTCTCCAGATGTATTCTCTACCAACTTCAACAAAGTCTCATAACCTTTTGTGTTAATTGGTGTCGAGCCCAATTCTAGCTTCTCCAAAACCCTGCCATCGTATGGGTAATGAACTGCGAACCTGCGGCATGCCGATCATGTTCTGCACAAGTCATCTCCACCATTTGGCATCCTTCTAGGGCAAAAATATCAAGGAAGCTATTACACCGAGATATTCGCCTTTCGTCATTTCCAATCCTCACCTTATCAAAAGCAAAAGGAAGCCCATTCCATCCATTTTTACCACTTTCAGGTCCAAACATGGGGTGTGTACATAGAATATCAAACTCCGGCGGTAAATGTTGAATAAACAAATTCATTGGAAACTCCTTCACTGATAGTACATCAACAAATAGAGTACTTCTCTTCAATCTCTTAAAGGGCATCGACTTGAGAATTTTTTCAGTCGAAAGAATCGAGGTACAAAGAAGAACAACTTCTGGATGCTCTTCACACACGTCATTAGCATCAGAAAAGAAAGACACACCCAACTTCTCAGCTGCATCTCGGTAATCAGTTCGAGAATACGCTAAAACTGAGTGGCCCTGGCAAGCCATAGTCTTTGCAAGGAACTGGCCAAAGTTTCCAAATCCAACAATCGCAATCTTTAGCTTTGAACTATCATCAACACTTTTGGATACCTTTCCTTTGAATTCATAAGGTATAAAATCTTGAGATTTGAAAGTTGCAGTAAAAGCCTGTAAATATATTATACAACTTACATCACAAGAATCCCCACTTTCTCCCAAGCAGTTTTCACTCTTTTTTCATTTGGCATAGCTTTACTAGTAAGACAAGTCTAATATCAAACCCTGTACTTCATAATAATTGAACATGCAACAACAAACATTAACCATAAGGAAATTATGCATAATGACCAATAAAAAATTACATTTTTGTATATATATGTTGCACTTTACTTCACTCAGGCTGGCGCATTGCGCCTGAAGCAATATAAGGGTTTAAATGCCTAGTGTGTCTTGCGCCATTGACAACGTTAATAACAAGTACTCTTAAAGCCATGTTTACTCCAACCACTAAACGTTGAAATTATTTAACATCTACTTCTAACTAAATTCTACACATTTAACATTTAAACAGATATAAAGAAAAGAAAAAAAAGCATTAAAAGTAAGGAGCCTGTAAAACGAAGAAAGATTCTGAATTCATTATGATTTCGCATATTAACCTTCCAAGGATACCGAAACTCTTCAGTCTTTTAAAGCTAAATGAATATCTACCATCCATGTCATGCATGTTGAATTGAACCAACAACTAAAGAAACAAAAGTGAAATCCAGGAAATACCTCAAAGCAATTGAGCTTAAAGCCGATGCAGCACCATTTGGGTAACTATTATGATGGAGACTCTTTACCTTCTCTCCTTGATCAAAACAACTGTTTCCTCACAACCTGATGCAGCTTGCCAAAAAGCTCATTCCTCAAAGCATCAAAGGCCAAATCCAGCCTCTCCACCATCTCCAAAGCACTCTTATTATACAAAAACAACCCATAATACAAATCAAAGCCATCCCCACAAGTATTCTCAACCAAATTCAATAAAGCCTCATAACCCTTTGTATTGATCGGCGTCGGCTCCAATCCCAACATATCCAGCACTCTCTCGACCGTGTGTGTCATGAACTGAGAGCCCGCCGCAAACCAGTCATGTTCCTGGCAGCTCATTTCCACCATCCTACACCCTTCACTTTGAAATATTCCAATAAATTGTTCGCATCTTTGAACCCTGGAGGGTTCGTTCCCGATTCTGACCTTCTCGTAGACGAAGAAGAGGTCTTTCCAGCTTTGTCTCGCGCTTTGCGGTCCGAACATGGGATATGAACAAATGATGTCGAAATCAGAAGGCAAGACATCGAGAAACAGATTCCTAGCGAACTCCTTGACGGATAAAACATCGACGAACAATGTGGAGCGTTTCAGTTTTTGTAAAGGAAGAGTCTTTAAAACACGTTCGGTGGATATAATCGAAGTACAAAGGATAATAACTTCCGGGTGTTGCTCACATAAGTCATGTGGGTTCGAAAAGAAGTAAACACCCATTTTTTTAGCCGTACGGGAATAGTCCGATCTCGAGTGGGGTAAAACTTTGTGTCCTTGAGAAACAAGAGTTTTAGCAAGGAATTGGCCGTAGTTTCCAAAACCAATTATGGCAATCTTGATGGAGGAAACGGATCGGGAACCGGATGGACCGGATTCGGATACGGGAACGGTGGAACAGCATTTGACACGGAATGGTTCAGCCGAGTGGATAACAATGGGTCTTGTAGGTGTTTTTGGAAGGAAAGAGAGAGGTTGAAGAAGAGGCAAAGAAGCAGCAGCAGCAGCAGAAGAAGAAAGGAGGGAAAGAGAGGGCTTGGAAATGGAAGGATGGAGATGAAGAAGAGAAGTAATGGCTGCAGTTTGCTGCAGGCGCCGCCAAGGAGGAATCGGCAACCGCCAAAAAATGGGGTTGAGTGAGAATCGGGGGGGGGGGATTTGGCCCTTGGAGTTTGGGTCATCGAAAACGGCTATCTGTGTTTCAACATTTAAAAAAAAAATTATTTTAAAAACAATTTTTTTGTTTTTTTATTAAGTTAAATTAATTATAAAGTAATATATATTCTAAATATTCTTAATAATTTGACAATGAATATTCAATTATCTTGTTACAATTACTGGTGTTACAACTTGATATCTCTAAAAACAATAATGATTCCTTTAACCACTTAAATAAATTGATTCATGTATTTTTTAAAGCATAATTTTATTGATATGACAACGATTTCAAATAAAATTTTGAATATTCAACTGAAAAAAAAATTATATTTAACCACATAAAAAGACACATCTAAATCATTAGGATCCGATAATCTAATAGTCCAAACTCGTTGATTTTTGAGTTGTCAAAGACTGATTTAAATACCCTAAGATCTAGATATTTAAAATCAATAAGTCAAATTTTTTGAATCTCAAATTAATAAGTTTTGAACGTAAGATTCACAAATATTATTTATTAAGATTTATCAAGCATTTAAATATTCTTGAAAATTTAACTTTCAAACACCCTCCACGAAGAGAGTTGCGTGACCTAACAATCCTCTAAGCCTAATTACCCGATTAATTCATGAGGCTCGCAACTTTTGACTTCTTATTAGAGATGGAATCATTAAGAGATGGAATGTATCCATAGATGGTTCGAGGGAGGTTGGACGGTCCGGTTCGGTCAGGTCGTATTTTTAAAAATTTTAGATTATTAAATAATTGAAATATTTTTATTGATTATTTAATTTCGTGATCTTAAAATTTTAACATAATTTTTTGAATTTGCACCTCTTGAATTTTGTAATTTCATACCTTCTAGATTTTTAGGGCAAATTGAGTATTTCGTACCTAAACTTTCAGTTTTGACCTGTTTTAGTACCTACACTTTTAATTTTTTTAATAACTTAATGTTAAATTTTGAACATGTTACAAAAATAGAACAAAACTAAAGATTTTAGCGTTGAGGGTATTAAAATGAAACAAAACTAAATTTTAGGTATTATTTTAAAAAAAATAAAAATTTAAATACTAAAACAGACCAAAACTAATGGTTTAGGTACTAAAGTTTTGATTTACCCAAGTTTTTAATGTAACTTATTAAGTTTATACATCGATCTCACATAAAATGTTATGTTCATCCTTAAATGTATCTAAGCAAATGCTTTAAGATCATCTGTCACTTAATTATTAATTTGATTATAAATGAATCATTTTTTTAAAAAAAAGTTATAATTTAGTCTTTCAGGCAAAATATTATTATAAATATATCATTGAGCGTTCGATATTAAGCGGAATTGTGATGCAATATGATGTAATGGAATTTTAGTATAAAAACATATGTATTCTATCATTTTAGTTCTAATTCTAAAAAATTCTTAAAAAAAATCCTTCACATTTAAAAATTCTATTTGATTTTTCTCCCATAAACGTTACGTTACATTTCCGGTGTAACCAAATTTAACAATAACTTCTTGTTTTATAGCTTCGGCATTGTCCATTTCAACCAAGACGTTCCACGCGCCATGACTTCAAGCTAAGTGAAGACCATCGAGGAGAGCCCAAAGCTCAGCCTGGAGACCCGAACAGTGTCCGATATTGCGACTATACCCCACAATCCATTCACCATTGTTGTTCCGGATTAAGCCACCTCCACCAGCTGCTTTCGAACTTGGGTTGAAAGCGCCGTCAGTATTAGGCTTGAACGTTCCAGCACAAGGAGGAATCCAACCGGGATTTCTGGATTTCTGGTTTGTGTTGTTAGGGAGATTTGACGTTCTGGTAAATATCGGTCGAGCCCAAGCTTGCGCCGCTTTGAGAGTAGCCTCCGAGGACCAGCTCACACCGGTGAAAATGAATTTGCAGCGATTCTTCCAGATCCTCCATAACAAGATTCCAAAAAGGTGATTCCAGTTCCGCGAACCTCCATTTGTACCTGCAACATTTTGAAGATTAAGCTCCAACCAATCCAAAAGATTATAGTTGAAAAAACTCCCTGTTTTGTGAGCTGGAAGAATCTGAAGCCAAGTGCTCCTAGCGGCATTGCAATCCCTGATGGCGTGGAGAATTGGTTCTTCACACTCCCCACACAGCGGCCAGCACTTATCCGAGGACAAGCAGCGCCGCACTCTCTCCATATTGGTAAGCTGACGGTTCCTAAGGATTAACCAAATGAAATTTCGAACACTCTGAGGCCCATCGAATCTCCAAGCAAGATTCCAAATGTTGTCATGCTCGTCCCAATTATTCCGGTGGAGCTCGCGATAGGCAAGTACCCGACGTTTCTTTTTTACAAGACAAATTCATGATAATATTAATCGAATTAAAATTCAGTTCATATTGTGTTCAGAGATTCAAATCGTGCTCGTGGTCGCGTTTTTTGTCATGTTACGTTTATCGTGATTGCGGCCATAGGGGCACTAGCAGGCGCTATTGCAGCTATAGCGAGCGCTATTACGAGTATAGTAGGTATATCAGAAGGCAGCGCTATTGTTATTTTACGGGCATTATTATGTTTGCAGACCGCTATTTAAAACCATGATTGTTAATTTCTCTTTTACATTCTATCCCTTTTTGAAAGATATTTTTCCCGTGCACTTGGATCAATAACTTATTCAATTGAATTGCATGCAAGAGATCGCACTGAAACTTTATAATAGATCATTTTCTTTCGAGATAATTAATATATTTACTCTTTAAAAATATTATAGGCTTAAACGTGCATTATCTATCAGGGGTTTAAGAAATTTAATTAATTCATAGACATTAAATTCTCATAAAATATGGAATCGATTGAATATTGTTGGCAGTGGCTTGGTGAGGACATATACATCTTGTTCTTATGTTCTGTAATAAACCAACACAATGTTATTTTCTTCGTCCTATTTCCTTGTATAATTCTTTAGATAAAACAGGGGATCAGAATTCCAAATTTTTTCATCGCATGGTGAAGGTTAGGAATAATTTGAATGCTGTTCGGGTTCTTTACTCTGGTGAAGGGGCTCGGCTTGAGTCTAGGAGGGAGATTGTTGAGGAAATTGTCTCCTAGTTTAAGGGTCAATTAGGGAAGGTTGATGATTCTGTGGTGGTGCCTTCGGTGGGGTTCCTTAGGGACTTGATTCGAAGGGGTCTTGATGATGATGCAAGAAGGGATTTGTGCTTGCCTGTTACTCGAGAAGAGATTTAAGGGGGCTATGTTTTCGATGGATGGGTAGAAGGCTCCGGGGCCTGATGGATATACTGCTAGTTTTTGCTAGAGTGCTTGGGAGGTGGTGGGTGATGAGGTTGTGGAGGCAATCCAATTTTACTTTAGTTCCTTAGCCCCTTTAAAGGGTTTAATTCTACCTCTATAACGCTGGTCCCTAAGGTGCAGAACCCTAGCAGGGTGAGGGACTATCATCTCATTTCATGCTGTCAGGTCATTTATAAATGTATTACTAAGGTGATTGTGAACCTTATGGCCAAATGGCTGCCTATTATTATCCCGGGTAATCAATCTGCATTCATTTAGGGCAAGAGTATTTCTGACAATATTCTATTTGGTCAGGAGTTGGTTAAGGGGTATTGGAGGAAGCGTTTGTCCTCTCGTGCTATAAATGTGGATTTGCAGAAAACGTTTGATTCCCTTCATTGGGGGTTAGTGATTAATGTTCTGAAAGCTTATAATTTTACTGAGTTATTTGTGGAGTGGATTAGAGGGCAAGAGGGGAGTGAGGCAAGGGGATCCACTGTCCCCTTATCTCTTTGTTTTAGCGACGAGTGTGCTCTCATTGATGTTGGATGCTGCTGTTGCGGGGGTATTTTTTATTACCATCCGAAGTGTAAAAAAATTGGCCTTATCTCAGTTTTGCTGATGATCTGTTGATTTTTTGAAAAAGGGAGTGTGGGTGATATTGTGGGGGTTAAATGTGTGCTGGAGGAGTTTCGGGGATTCTCGGAGTTTGTTTAAATTCCACGAAGACTGGGGGTTTCTGTTATGGAATTCTTAAAATAGAAGAGATTACTAGGTTTAAGATTGGTCTATTGTCAGTTCGTTATTTAGGAGTTCCCTTAGTGACGAGAAGGCTTACTGCTAAGGACTGTGCTCCTCTCATTGGAAAGGCGGTTGACAGGGTTAATAGTTGGGCTTCTAAGATGCTTTTCTTTGTTGGGCGTCTTCAACTGATTCAAATTGTGCTCTATAATATTCAAGCTTATTCGGGTAGGCATTTTGTGCTGCCTAAGGGGGTTGTTAAGAGGTTGGCTCATGTCTGCTGTAGTTTTTTTTTTTTTTTTGCAAAGGGGCTGACAGGAGTGCTAATGGGGCTCGGATAAATTGGGATAAGATTTGTAGGTTGAAGGAGGAGGGTGGGCTTGGTTTGAGGGATTTGGGTGAGTGGAATAGAGCTAGCATTATCCAGCAGATTCGTGCTTTGGTTATAAAGTCTGATACTTTGTGGGTACGGTGGGCGGATGCTTATGTTCTTAAGGGTAGGTCGTTTATGGAATTTGTTCCTGTTTTGGGCTGCAGTTGGTTCTGGAAGAAGCTGGTGAAGCTAAGGAGTGTGGCCGCTCAATTTATTGATCCGGGGTCGGGGGACTGGATCGGTTCAGGGAAGGCCGAGGAGGCTTGGCAGCGTACTCGAGTGTGCCATGAAAGGGTTCAGTGGGTAAGGTTGGTGTGGTTTCTTTTTCATGTCCCTCGTTTTGCTTTAATGGTTTGGTTTGCAGTGCAAGATCGATTGCCTACGAAGATGGGGTGTTGTGGAGAGTGCTGGATGTTATTTTTGTCTGAATGGCGTGGATGCTAGGGATCATATATTTTTTGCGTGTGAGCATGGCAGGAGGATTTGGGGGGAAATTTTGAAGTTTTGTGGTCTGAACAGAGCTGTTTGGGAGTGGCGTCAGGAGTTGGTTTGGGCGTTGGCTAGGTGCAGAGGTAGGACTGCCTTTTCGATTCTTTTTAGGCTTGCGTGGAGTGCGTACGTGTATCGTGTTTGGAGGGAGAGGTGCTTTCGAGCTTTTGGTGGCAGGGCGAGGGGGAGTGAGGTCCTGGTGAGGGAAATTCGTGAGGATGTTTGTTTGCGACTTGCAGGCACTAGGCGATGGGGAGTATTAGTCCAATGATCTGCTTGGAGCGGGGGCTAGGTTAATGCTTGATGGGAGGTGGGCATTGTTGTTTAGTCTGTGGTTGTGTTCTGTTGTTATTTGGTTTTAGTTTGTAGCAGTGTATTCTGCTTTCTTGGATAATGAATCAGCATTCATCCAAAAAATTCTTTAGATAAAACGTAATAATAAAATTAAGGGTAAACTACATGTTTAGTACTTAAACTATTAATTTTAGTTTATTTTAATACTTAAAATTTCAATTTTTTCAAAATAATATCTAATGTTTAGTTTTTGTTTTATTTTAATATCTGCTATTAAAAATTTAACGGAACTGTTACAACTTGACACTTTTTTATGGTTAAATTACATCATTCATCTCTTAATTATCTTCTCACTCCTATTTTGGTCATTGAAGTTTAATTTTTTTAATTTAATTAACTTTCAAATTACTCTTCATTAATCACTCAAACTTTCAAATTTATTTTTATTATAATTATATATTAATAAAATAATAATAAAATATCATGTCACAAAATATTATTAATAAAATAAAATAGAGTGATTAAAACAAGAGCAATTTGAAAATGGAGAATTTAAATTGAAAATTTTAAACTTTAATGACCAAAATATGAGTGAGAAGATAGTCAAGGGATGAATGATGTGATTTACTCGTGAAAAAAAACAGTCACATGCAGAAGTTCTGTTAAATTTTAAACGATAATGTACTAAAATGAAACAAAACTAAACGTTAAATATTGATTTGAAAAAAATTGAAAGTTAGGTATTAAAACAGGCTAAAACTAATAGTTTAGGTACTAAATGCATAGTTTACCCTAAAACTGAAATTGTCAAAGCATTAGTTAAATTCTAATTAGCCTTCTATGGAAAATACAGACTGTCGTAGGGTGGTCATCTACTTAACTTTTTTTTAATTATTTTATCTGTTATTATTAAATACGTATGAAATACTAATCGAATCGAATTTTATTCACCAGTACGTATAGACACTATTGCTGTTCGACTCGCACTATATATAGTGCAGTAAAGGAGACAAAGATCACAGGTTTTGGCTTCAACCCTAAACCCTGTTTATAGAAATCGACATGGCGACAGTTATTCTAGTTTTGGCTTCAACCCTAATTCTGTTACGTAATGCACATGCGGCAACCACTTATGATGTCGGAGATTCATTTGGATGGCAAATCCCGACCGCTGATCCTAATTTCTACGGCGATTGGGCCGACAATAAAACCTTCTTCGTCAATGATGTTCTTGGTGAGTTTCTTAATTTCCTCGAAAGAAATCTCGAGTTTTTGAAAACACGGATTCAGTTGCAGTTGTTTTGTTTGTTTGCAGTGTTCAATTTCACTACAGGGCAACACGATGTTTTGGAGTTGACGGAACCCGGTTACGACGCCTGCACCAAGTCGGACACCTTCTTAACGGAGAACAAAGGACCGGCGAGGATTACGCTTAAAAGGACCGGTGAGCATTACTTCATCTGCGGGTACCTTGGTCACTGTTCCGCCGGCCAGAAGCTCAAGATCGATGTCCGGGACGGCCGTGGAAATACGCCGGGTGTCTTTAGTCCTCCCGGCGGAGCTCCGTCCCTTGTCGCCACCGTGTCTCTTGTCTTCGTGTTCATCACCTATGCTTTGTTGTGCTAATTTAGTTACGATGGTGATCGTGGAATGATATTTGGTGTTGAATAAAAACTTTGTATCCACTCTGTTCGGTTATTTTTGTTATTATTATTTAGAGTTAATTGCACCACTTCATTACCTTTATTTTAAATTGGTCCTTAAATTTTTAAATAATTTTATTTTATTCTTAAACTATGACTATCATTTTAAATTAGTCATTAAAATTTTGAACATTTCAATTTCATCTCAAAACTATAACTTTCATTTTAGATTGGTCTCCCAAACTTTTTGAACATTCTAATTTCATCACAAACTATATTTATATACTAATCACATCCCTTGTCAATAAAGCCATTAGACCAAGTTATATTATTATATGTTTGAAAAAAAAATTAGGTTAGATTATGATTGATATTAATTACATATTTGGATTAATTTGGGGATGAAATTGAAATATTCAAAAGTTTAGGGACAAAATTAGAAATGAGGTCATAGTTTAGAGATGAAATTAGAATGTTCAAAAGTTTAAGGACTAATTTAGAATGAGAGTCATAATTTTAAAATAAAATTAAAATATTCAAAAGTTTAAGGATCAATTTAAAATTGATTATAGCATAGGGACATACGATACAATTAACTCTATTATTAATTCCTAACCGTATATATTATAGTAATATGATAAATAGAATTTGATTCAATTTTTTATTGATTTAAATTATATATTTTAACATTTACAGTAAACTATATTAGATATCATCAAATTCTAGACATTATATTGTTTGTGCATTAAACTTCTGATTACTTCAATTATAGTATTAAATTCTGATTTTGACTTCAACTGTGTAACACGATCGTTAAAATTCAAAAGACATGATGATATAGACAAAACAACATTGTTTTAGTACGGTTATTGATACTCAAATGACGTCATTTTAAACGTTGAACCTTAAGAGTGTATCGAATTCGCCACTGAATTTTAAACAATTCATTTTTAGTCATTGTATTTTTCGGCCCTCGGCAGTGAATCATCACTCATCATTGGTTGTCAATCGTAAGATTAATATCAAAACATTCGCATTTCACTTCTCTTTCTTTTTTTAAAGATTGACTTTCCATAAAATCCACTTAAGATCGACGAAATTAAACAAAAAATTTCTTAACTTTTAGGGGTTTGTAGGTTTTCTTAGATTGAAGGGTTTGAGATGTTTGATTGAAGCATTATTTGGAAAAGACGAATATATTTTAAAACTAGTCTAGATCAAAGTATTAACACGTCGAATCTTTATATAAATTTTTATTAATTTTATATAAATTTTATAAAAATCAATCCGACAAAAGGAAAGATGAAAATGGATAAATTGTGAACATTTTGAAATCTGAAACCATTTGCTAATGCTACGCCTAGCTAACGCCATATCATCCACCCGAACCCCCGGCGTCCCGGCCTCAAATGGTCCCATGGCCGAGGTCAAAAGAACACAGTTACAGCTACGCAAAGAGTAATCCACTTTAGGTTCTATATATCTCAAAAGGTGCCGAGTTTAGCAGACATTTTACGTCATCCAAACTACTTTATCATTAATGGCTACAAAATCAGTTCATTAGTAGGTTGAGGTTGGGTGGGGGTTTTTAGTTAACCTGATTTAATTAAAAAATATATATAATTTTTATCGAAATTTGACCTGATTCTAGTTAAGGAGTAGTTTCACTTAATTTGTATCTGATTTAATTTTTTGAGATAAAATTTGAACAATAAATATATGTATAAAAAAATATTATTTTTTCAATCAAAATATTGAATCTAATTGAAATATATATATTATATAGAGAGAAGTGGGTTATTATTGTAATTATTCCTAAAAGTAAATTTATATTATTTTTTAGATCGGGTCGGGTTAAGTATTTTTCACCCTGAACTCGAACTTAACCCGACTCGAACCCAAAATTATTTTAAATAACCTGACCCAATCAGGTCAGGTCGGATTAGAATCCATCAAACTCGGGTCTTGTGCCCATCCCTATTAGTGATCAACCAAACTACCACCATGCGTACGTACGGGTAAGAGTGATGGACACGAGATCTGAACCTAACGAGTTTCGACATGACCCGACCAGAGCGAGTTAGCTTTTTTTTTTAAAAATGGATTTGGATCGGGTCGGGTTTAGGTTTGGTGAAAAAAATGCCCGACCAATAAAATAATTTAAATTTACCTTAAATATTTAGGGATAATTGTAATAATAACTCTTTATATATTATTATTTTTTTGATTAGATCCCTAATTTTAGTGAATTATATATATACATATATATATATATAGGGCAGAATCCTCTTATATAATATAAAACTCTTTTAGTTTTACATAGATTTAAGATCGTTAGATGAGTGAAAATAGATGGTTGAGATTAAAAGTAGGAAATGTGAACATATTTACTGGGGGAAAAACAAAGAATCAATCTCATCCATCTATTTTCACTCATCCAACGGTCCTAAATATGTGTAAAACTAAAGAGTTTACATTGTTTAAGTAGATTCTAACTCGCATATATATATATATACACACACTTCGGGTCGGATCGGATCGAGTTCGGATTGAGTTCGGATTTTATATGAAAAAGTTGGTTCAACTTTGGGTCGAATAAAGTTGCCCCTAAATTCGGGTCGGATTTCAGATGAAGAGAATATATTTTCGGGTCGGGTTAACTTAACCGAAATCGACCCGAACCCGACACATGCTCATCCCTAAGTAAAAGAGTATTCCATTGTGCTTAGAAGTCTCTTTTCTCTTATTCGGCTTTCCCAACTCCACCTAAGCAATCAAATGAACTACACTAAAAGTACAAAGAGTAGAGTTTATTATTCGATTTTAATTGAATTAAGATTTAATACGGTTAATCAATTGAGTAATTAGATGTTCGATCAATTAGTAATTAAGATTTTTATAAGTTTGATTATTGATAAATTTTGTTCTAAATTATTGTATTAATCAAATTAATCATATATATTACGTATATATTTTAAGTTTATACTCATTAAATATTAAAATTTAATTATTTTTTAACCATATTAGATCCATTAAACTTTCAATACCAGATTATCATATGTCCACAACGTTGCGGCTGGGGAATGCCTGCCCATAATCAAGTATCCCTAAATTATGGACAAATTTCAAAATTACTCCTTACACTTCAAAATGGTTTCGATTGAATCCTCAAAGCACAATTCCAGTTAGATCTTTCCCTCATTCTAAGCCATGGTTGTACATATCAACTTGGATTTGCCATCAAATCAATAGAATAGTTTTGAAGTCTAGGACTTAATTTAGAGTTTGACTCATAATTTAGGGACATTTGATGAATTTAACCCATGAAATCAAAGAAATGGCAGAGAACCTGTGGTTGGAAATGGGAAGAAGCTCCAATTTATTTTCCTTAACATTCAACTGATATTAATGTGGTAATAACATAAGGTGAAGGTGAAAATAAAAGAAGAATAATGGAGACTATATATAGGTTTGTGCAAAACTTGATTCGACTTGTTTAGTCTAGGGTAAATTAGATGTTTAGCACCTAAACTATCAATTCGATCCGTTTTAATACCTAAACTTTTTGATTTTTTAAAATCATACCTAAAGTTCAACTTTTATTTTATTTTAGTAACCCTATTCAAAATTTAACATTAAATTTTAAAAAAATTGAAAGTTTAAGTACTAAAATGAATCAAAACTTATATTTTATGTACTAAACATGTTAAATTTTTAAAGACGGAGTACTAAAATGAAATAAAAATTAAACTTTAGATATGATTTTGAAAAAAAATTGAAGTTAATGTACTAAAACGGGCTAAAACTGATAGTTTAAGTACTAAACCGTAATTGACCCTATAATCTATGGTTCAGATGGTTCTTTAAACATGGATTAAGAAAGCTCAGCACACTAGTATTTGCCTTGTTCAACAATGAGCAACATTTGTCCAAAGAAGGTACTTTCCGGTGTTATCATCACGCCACAAGGACAAGCATGTGACTGTTGCTCCCAACCGTGCCCCTCCCCCTTCCTTCTTATAAACTATCAACGGTTCTCAGAACACTCGGACTCGGGTTCTTTTCGCCATCCCGATCCCTAAAACAAGTGACTTAGCAAAGACTTATCTCCATCACAGAAGTGAAAAAATGCAATGGATAATCCCTCACCTGGCAGTGATGGCAAGCAGCAAATTGCACCAGAAAGTACGGCTAACCTAACCTAATGCCAATAAGTAAAATGTGCCATCCCATGGCTAACTTAAGAAGAAGCATTCAATTCAACAAGAAGTTCTTGTACAAACATGCTAAAATCGATCCGTGCACGTTAAGGTTACAAGGAACATGAAACCTGGAAATTGGATATATATAGTTCATGATCAACACTTCACTCTATGACAGCTTGGGGTATATACTTCACTCCATTTCATAGTTTCGAAAAGCTAATTAATTTGTCTAAAATACCTATAATTCTTTTCCTCTTTCATTTGTTTCCTGAGCTCTGAGCATGTAGAAACCTACAAATCATTCCACATATGTTGAGAAGGCAAATATTCCTCATATGGTTCTCAACTGATCAAAAATTATTTATTAAAATGTTCGAGTAATTAGATGTGTCATGAGAATTAGATCATCCAACTATTAGATATCAATGATGCTAAAAATTATATTTACAGTTCACTCTCTGCTGCACTCCAAAAATGCAACTCATGGTAAGCATTTAAATTTTACAAGCACAAGTACTAGAAAATAAATATAGCAAGAGATTCACTAATACTCTCAAAAGACCACTAATTTTGAAGGGCAAACTACAGTTAAAACTATTGTTTACAAACCTGGCCCATTTCTTCTATTATTAGTCGACGACCCTGGTTGCCAGCAAAATTGTTCATCTTCCGAGTTGCCTCCAAATGTTGCCTTATGTTTTCTCCCTGCTTCTCCAAAATTGTTATCTTCATTTTCCATGAAGCACTTTCTTGAAGATGAATCAAAGTGGTCACTAAAAGTCCTCTCTGGGAAAAAACGGAACCCTTTACTCGTTTGTTGAAAAGCATCATTAAGCTT